ACGATATGATTGCAGCGTTAGTTATAGGAAGAAATAAATTTATAGAGACGCACACAAGGATACCGGGATGGAGTTTACATACGCCAGGATCGTTCTGTGATAAATGCGGTGTAACATTTACAACGCAGCACGCCCTTCTACGGCATATCACATCGAGACACGAGGAGTCGCAGAGTTCTACCGCGTTCTGCAATATTTGTCAACGATTTTTCAAAACAAAGTGGAGTTTGGCAACCCATAACAGTAAATATCATAGAAACTGTTAATGAAATAATAAGATAAATAAATTTTCGAATAAAATTTATTCAAATTCGGATCGGGTCTCGGGCTTCGAGAAAAGAAATGTAAAAACTTAGCAGAATCAGATTTATGCTACAATTGTTGTATGCGAATATTTTCCATAACAGATATATAAGATCATACTAGAGAAAGAAAGGGAGCGAGCGAGAGTGAGAGAGAGAAAAGAGAGAGAGAGAGAGAAAGATAAGTATTACATCGGTTAAGCAAGTACTAGGTGTCTATAACTAAATTATTTTATTAAATATTTATTTCACATTCTCTAAATGTTTAACTGTTCAATCAAATAGAGAAACAAAGACGATTACAAGTCCTTGTAATGTAACACAGCGCAGCGAATGTAACATTGGAAAGCATCCTATTATATTTGTAGTTGATCTTGTACAATCTGTAATATTCACACACACACACACATACATTCCAGAACAAGGAATGTCATAATTATAAGCCCCCCCTTAATGCGAGTACCAAATGCAATACTGATCCACCTTGAACTTTATAATCCTGCGCCGTTTTTTCGTCATTCCTAAAAGACAACAAAATTTTTTTTATATCTTCATCTCTCAAATTCCTTTTCTGTTTTAGTAAACACACATTTAAAATCGTCAATTAATTAGAAAAAAAAAAAAAAGAAAAATACAGCTATGAGTATTGATTAATATAATTCTGATTATTTTTTATGTACATATAAGATATATATTTGACAAGGAAAAATAAGAAGAAATGATGTTAAAATATCATAATTGATGGAACAGGAACAAGGAAACCAGGGCAACTATACAACTCAGATTCAATAAGGACTCTAGAAAGTCACTTTCCAGAATATGTTCCATCAACACCAAAGAAGATGAATGCTACGAGAAGATGTAAAGTTTGTGCATCTAAGGGAATGCGAAAGGAATCTCGTTATTATTGCGCTTATTGTAATGTAGGGCTATGTGTCACACCATGTTTTAAAGAATATCATATTAAAAGTAATGTCGAATGAAAACATGAATTAAACACAATTTTCTCTTTAAGAAATTATCTCTTGTACAATTGTGTAAATTATTTCTATATTCAATTATAATACCTACATTTGCTTTCCAGAAAATATCAATCGTTGTTGTTGCGGCGGTATTCCTTCCTTTTCTTCCACTCTTTCCTTGATCCTTTCTACCTTATCTGTAGGTTCTATATCTATTTCAATCTATGAGAATAATAATATCTGTGATTGCTATTAAACTTAGATATAAATCTGTTTGTTATATATATATATATTTAAAATATATTTGTGAAATGCAAAATATATATATATAGTGAATAACAATAAATGCGAAAAAATATATCTGTCGTATGAAACAAACTCTAATTAATAACGATACATTATTAGTGATACATCAAATGTCAAATTTTACATTTTTAACTGACAACACGATTTTGCACTAAACTATATTAGAATAGATGATTTTCCTTCTATAATTGTTTTTTTTTTCCTTAACGTATACCGATAAATATTATTTTATATATTATATCGTCGAATCTCATTAAAAATACATAAGATTATTTTGCAGCTACTTGCCTCCTTTCCGGTAAGAGTCTGAAACAAGGTTAGAATATATTTTCAGAACTGATTATAAATGTTGTAGCTCCATCTCCGCCGGTCAATGTTCTTACCTTCACTTTGATCAACATTGTTTATGCGTTAAAAAACAATTTAAATAATCACTGTATGATTGCAAATTAAAAACTATTGACACAAATATGCGGTTCTTTGAACTGTGGATAAAAAATTCTGCACTAGTTCCAATGAAAACTCTCTATACCTCCATCTGACGGCAATTCATGAATGTATATATCGATACTTTTCGAACTTTAAACAATTTCAATTTATTAATATATTTCTTCGAAACAAATGTATTCAAATCGTTTTTTATATTCATATTCGATTCCAAATTATACGAACATAATGATTTTATAATTAAACGTATTCATAATTAAATAACGAAAGCAATGATATCAATTCGTATAAATATAATTTTATTCATAATTTTTTAGTAATAAGTTTATATCAATTAATGTTATAGTGTAATAGTGTAATATAGCAATGCAAAATATATAATATTATAATGATATTTGTACGTAATCTCATTAAATTACAAATTAAAAGTTATATATCTTTTTACAAAATAAAAATCGATAAATAAACATTGTTTATCATTACATTTTTAATTTTTCTTCTTGAGCAATAAGTTGATTTTTTATTTTCTGTAAAAGTTCCTTTTTAACAGAATCTGGAACAAGTGTTCTTGCTTTGGTTGTGACCATCGAAAGCAATTTGTCATAAGTAATGTCATGACCATGTTCTTTTATTAATTCTTTGCAGATTAACTTTACTTGATCCCTCCATCCACATTCGACTAATCGACGACGTAGCAATTCTTTCAGCCTAAGAGAAAAAGAAGGTTAATTATCATTTTAATGTAAAAAATAAAAAAAAAATTATTGAAGAGAAAGAGAATAAAAAAAATAATATATGAGAATTATTAATAATAGAATAAAAATATATATTATTCAAAGTTAAAAATTTGAACTTTTAGTAAACATAATAGAAGAAACAGAATATAAAATTATAAAAAAATATATGAAGAATACAATGAATATATTTACCCGTCACGATCGCCAACCATAACTAGCCTTTGATGTGGAGCAGTCTTCATTAAGAATATTAATTTTATCTATCTTAATATTAATATAATTATATATTTCTTTTCGTAATTTTAAAAAGTTTTCTAAATAATTTCACTAGTCACCTCTCACTAACATTTAAGACAGGTTATGTTGTTTTATCTTTTCAACTTCATAACCTAACATCGTTTCATTTCTCGCATAGACGATGAAGTAGCGAAACATGGTTGTAGGTTAGAAAAGTGTTGTTTAAAGTGAGTCTTCATTAAAGTAATGTTATAAATATTTATTCACAAATCTTAACATTTTTATAAATGAAACATTTCTTATTCGTACATAGGTATATAAAATTTAAAAAAGAAATATCTAAATAGTGAATAATTGAAAAATATTTTTAACACATAATACGAAAAATTGTGCAATGTTTGTGTAATTAGAAATTTTATTACAATTGTATTTCATAATGTATATTTTATATTAAGAATCAGTTTTACATTAATAATATCCTTATAATTAACTTTCAATATTTTTATTAATTATTTTGCATTAATTTTTTTCATAAAGTTTTAAATTAGTTTACATGTAATAGTAAACAAAATTATTCAATATTTTGCAATAATTGTCATTTATCTCTCTTGCGTAAATAATATTTATTATTATTTTTAGGAAATGGCATCAACACGAATAATCAATTATGTTTTATACAAAAGATTTGTAACAATCTCTAGTTTGAAAAATGTATGCATTCTCTCTACTTTTAATATTAATTCTAATTTTCGACAAAATGCGTATTATTGCACAAAGAAATCAATTGTTAAAACAGATCCTGTGGAACGTGAGAATAAGATACAAATTGGATTTGCGGATGTAGGTAAATTTCGTATATATCTGCGAAAATATATATGATGTAAAAATCGATGCTACTCTGATTATTATTTTTATTTCAGTCAAAGAGAATACAAAATCTATTGGATACTTAGGCGTGATAATTGGTGGTATAGGAATTACAGCTTTCATGTTTTATATTATTTTTGATGAATTATTTTCCAGTAAAAGTCCAAATAGTGTATATAGTAAAGCGTTAGATCGCTGTATTAAACATCCTAAAATAATAGATGTTCTTGGAGAACCGATAAAAGCATACGGTGAAATGGGTAGACGTAGAAGTCATATAAGGTAAATTTATTTTCATTATTATTTTCCATTATCATCTTTTTTATTATCGCTAATGATACGTATAATTTCAGTCGTATTATCTTTGAAAAAAATGGAATACGTCACATGAGAATGAAATTTTATATTCAAGGTATAAGAAGACGTGGAACTGTGCACTTGGAAGTGCAAGAAGTAAGACATAATATTTTAATAATATTTTTATATTGATTTTTAATTTGATATTAATTTAAAATTTAATTATAGGATACATCTGGTAATTATATGTATAGATATTTATATGTAGTTGTGGATGATATTCAAAGTGTTATTAAAATAGAAGATAATAGAGAGGAGAACAAAAACTACAGTACCGAGACAGAAGATCAATGGAGCTAATGTATTAGGTCTTTCTAATTAATTAATATTTGATATGTCGTGTATAGAAATGCTTATAATCGATTATTTGCAATATTATTTTAAATATACTTTTATAAAATTTGTGTCAAATAAAAATATTAGAACTTAGAAAAACGTTTTATACCCGTTTTATACATTAGTCACACATTTGTAAATAATAGATAATAAATAAAATAAATTAATCGCAAAATAAAATATACGATACGATAACGTATATGTGAAAGGAAAAACGTTCGAAAAGAATAGAAGTTTAACGTTAAAATTACGTTATCGTTAATAGGAAAACTATTTCTTTAGAATTGTTTACTCATTAAGAAAAGAGATAAATAGTGCGATGACAAGATAAAGATATATAAAGATCGTTAGCATTCGCGATCGCCTAAAAATTGATCGAAGGCTGCGCAGATCTTGATGTCTGCATCATTCACGATGCCAACTGATTCTCTGACAGTCGCTCATTTACTTGCGAGCAGATCGACACAACGCATCGTCTATCAGTCCGTATTCGAGTTTAAAATGTGAAGTGATATCATTACATTTTTTTTAATCTTTGTCTTTAAATTTTTCAGAATTATCGATATTTGAATTATATGTATAACAATTTTTAACAAATTTATTCGACGAACGAAAACATTATTAATATAAACAAATGTTTATCTTCTTCGAATTTATATATATACATATATATACATATATATACGATTGATAGCTCAAGATTCCAAGTTTTTTTTCTGTTAACTCGAGTCATATTCTTTTACGGATAAGTATGCATCACATATTTAAAATATGTTTCGTAATGATAAATTAAAACGACGTGATGTGTAAAACATGATGGAATCGAAATGTAATTGTCATAAAATGTCACAAAATATCGTGAAAAGTATGAAAGATATAAACTTTTGAATTCATTTCATTCACTGTAAAAGACTGAAAAAAAAAAAAAAAAAAAAAA